GATTACATACCAGCCAAGTGGAAAATAATGTAAAGACAAAAGGACTAGATAAGCAAAACAGTACTAGGTAGAAAACAAATAACCAGCACTTCAAATTCTGCCTGGAAGCAGATTAATAGCACTGGAAAATCAAAGCTTTCACCTGACATAGAATTTGATTTAGAAATCATCTTGTGTCTTGCAAATATTGAAAAACGTATCTTTCATGGTCACAATGTGTCTGTGAAGCTGGACAAACAGTCAGTACAGTTCGGTTTAACTTGTGCTGCATGATGCCTGTGGACTGAGGGGTTGCCTTTTCCAAATAATTACCAGCAAAGCAATATAAAGTAGGATATTCCCCTTGTCTTGTCTTTTTCCTTTCTCTCATAAATAAGATAATGGGAGTTTCATTTTAATGTTTGGAAATGTTTAATGGCTCCATTGATTTAATACATTCAATAATATACTACAAGCAATAGAGTAAAGTAATATAATAAAAATGCCAAGGAAATGACATCTAAATATACCTGTCTTACCTGTGCGGTTATATAGAAATATCCAAATCTATCACACAGTAGCTTAATATAGTTACTTGGTTTGGTTTGGTTTGATTTTCCTTGGAAGATGCTTGTGCATGACTTTTTTTTTTTTTTGATGTGTGGAGATTGGTGCACAGCCGATCAACACACAGTCTTCACGGAGTGAGGGTCCCAACCAGTGGCATAGTTAACACAATGGTGGCTTATTGACCTATTGCAGCCTTCTTCCGACTTCACAGCCGTTGTAACATGTATCATGTTGTCTTCCACCTGATCTGCTGTTGGGGTCTTCAGGTCTTCAGATTGTGCTTGGTCTGGAACCTCCTCTGCGGCCCCTCCTGGGAGTACATGACTCCAATGGTTACACCTGCAGGTTCATTGGAACATGCAAGCCTCCTCACCACAACAAGGTGACAATCCATTGAGGGGGGAGACATATGTATGTATGTATGTATGTATGGCATGAATATATGGCATAAATATATATGGTTCATTACATCTTAGCTATGATACATATTTACAGTAGAAGTTAACAGATTTCCTCCCTTGCTAGTGAAGCCTCCAGAATCAGCATCCTTCTATGCCTATGAATTAATTAACAAGACCTCCTCCTTCTTCCCCACAGGTAAAAATGTACACTGGATTGCTGCCTAAATAACTCAGTAGTGGTCACTTCAGTGCTTCTGTATTATATGGTGTACTAATAACGCATATTCTACTGCATTGATGAAATGTCACCAGTAACGTGTTATTTGTGGTGTAGATGTCCAATACAATGATGAAGTTTCAGGCTGCTGCTTTTAGAAATTGAAATTTATAATTTTTTTCCACTGGAGACCTTACTGTATTGTCCCAACATCTTCAGAAATTCATTTCATTTGAACCTGGGGGAGGGCTTTTTAGTGATCATGTCTAAACTCTGGAACTCCCTCTTGTGAGAGATGTCTCTCTCCCCTTTCTAACAGACCTTTGTCAAACTGCCTTTGTGAGAAAAGCATTTGGGCTAGGAGCAGCCATTCTGTCATTTAATTGTTTTTAATGTCATTGTAGCCATGCGATTACGGTACATTTTTGTATGACAACTTTTACTTTTTCAAACTGCTTTTATTCTTGTTTAATCATTGTTTTTGTTTAAAATCCTAAATTTTGTTAGAGAACACAGTGTTTCAAAAACAATGAAAAAATGTATTTTTTTTCTTAATACATTTTTTTATTTATATGAGTCATGTGAGCACTGGGTTGAGGTTTGCTCCCTTCTTGTGGGTTTTGCTTTCTGGTGCTGCAAAAAAGGGCAATGATTTCTATCATTCGCTGCTTCTGAAGCAGCAAATGAGGCCCCTTCCACACAGCTGAATAAAATCCCACATTATCTGCTTTGAACTGGAATATATGGTAGTGTGGACTCAGATAACCTAGTTCAAAGCAGATCTTGTAGGATTTTCTGCCTTGATATTCTGGGTTATATGGCTGTGTGGAAGGACTTCCAGAAATCCCTTTTTCCACCCAAGGGTTCTTATGGTGTTTGTGCTGTGTTTGCTTTGTAAATGGAAACTAGAAACAAAATGTTGAAAACGCCTTTGGAATTGGTTGGGGGAAAAGATAATAATTTCCCCCATAGGTGCTTTTATGGGAACTTCAAAGCGCAGCTGCAGATTGTGATTTAGGACAGAGTCATATGCCCATGACTGTCACCTGACACTTAATAAATTACACTTGAACTTGTAAACGGACTCCTTGGAGGAAAAGATTTTGGGAATGGTGGGAAATTTTTTCTCTATGATACTTAAGGGAAAGGTGTATCAAAAAAGGTTAGCAGGTGTGTTACTGACAAACTAGGAAATAATTCAGTGGAAAGTTGTGCCTACATTTATTCTTTCAATGAACTTCATGCTAGATTCCAATAAAGAAGCACCAATCCAAACTGGCACAGCAATAATACTGGCTTTCAATGGAAAACGCCAACCAAGGAACACTCCACTCATGAGTACAAGCCATTCTGCTGCTCATGCAGTTCCCCTGCCTTCCATCTCAGGGATCCTGTGTTGTGCCCAAAATGTGTGCCGATTTTATTTCTTTCTAACCATTACCAGATAGTAGAGCTGGGGGAGACATGAATGAACGAAAAGCAATTCAATTTGCCCTTCATTTTGGACCTCAAGTGAAGCATTCGGATTATATCAACCATTTTGATTTGATAGGCTAAAACCTTTTTATTCAGGCAGGCTTTTAAAGGAGGGCTGCTGTCAGGGGGTGTTGTGGTTTTAGGTTTGAATATGTTTTTAATCCGGTTTTATGGATTTTAACTGTGAATGTTTTAATACCATTTATATTTAATTCTGTTTTACTGTTTGTATATTTGTAGATTTTAAATTGTATTGAAATGCTTTTAATGTAAGATGCTTTTTAGTCTATTTTGTGGAGAGAAAAGGTGGAGTTTTAAATAATAATAATAATAATAATAGCCAACATAGTGATCTTGCTTGCTGTGTACTAATCTTGTTGTGTATGAAATAATCATAATTTATACCCCATCCATTATTGTTGTTGAAGGCTTTTATGGCCAGAATCACTGGGTTGCTTTGAGTTTTCTGGGCTGTATGGCCATGTTCCAGAAGCATTCTCTCCTGATGTTTTGCCCATCTCACTTGCCTAGTTTCCAAAAGACCTCACAACCTCTGAGGATGCCTACTATAGATGTGGGCAAAAAGTCAGGACAGAATGCTTCTGAAACATGGCCATACAGCCCAGAAAATTCACTGTAACCCAACAATAATAATGTTTTTATACCCCACCTTTATAATATCCCCACCTATAATCATACACAGTACACAAAATACACGCTTTTAAAATGCCTTTGCATCCTCCCAATTCCCTTGACTATTAAAACTCAAGTATGTATGTTTATACCTACAGTACGGATCTGGTATCCTTTATCCAAAATGCTTGGGATCAGAATGGATGTTGGAATATCTGTATTTGCACATATGTACATAACGAGATGTCTTGGAGATGGGACCCCAGTCAAAGGGAATTCATGTAAGTTTCCCATACACCCGATACATGTAGCCTGAAGATTATTTCGTGCAGTATTTTAAATACTTTTGTGCTTTTGTTCCATGCACAAAAGCAAATCTGTCACTATCTCAATCATCCATGGAGGCAATTTTGGAGGATTTTAGATTTTTTGATAAGGGATGCTCAATCTGTACTGGATAGATTTCCTTTCCTATACTGCACATTCATAGAAGAGGCAGCGTGGTGTTGGGTTGGACCCTGGAATGTTAGGGTTTGGATCCTCAGCCATGGAAAATGCTTGGGCAAGTCACATTCTCTCAGCCCATGAAGAAGGCAATTCCTGAAGAAATCTGACCAAGAATTTGGAATTCACTCCCCGGCTCTGGAATTCCCTTCCCAGTGAAATTAGATCAGCCCCCTCCCTCCTGGTTTTCAGGAAGACCTTAAGGACATGGCTATGGGACCAAGCCTTCAGGTAATAAATGCAGCACAAGGAATGAATAGGAAACAAGTGCAATTTGACAACTGGAATGGTTTCAGACTACAATTTTGGATCACGTGATTTTAAATGTTAATATTAAGATGTTTTAATCCTCTGTTTTAAATTGTCTAAATGTTACTTATGTTTTATGTTTAATATGATCTTAATAGTTTTAATTTATAGTTGTATGTCATTGTTTTAGTTATATGCTTTGTTCGTATGTATGCTGGGACTGAATTTTGCAATTATTTGATGTATTTAAGTCCCCCCAGGGTTGAGAAAAGTGTTATATAAATAAAGTAAATATTAAGAAATAAGAAAACAGTTAAGAGGAGTTAACCTGAAGGTACACAGCAACAAATATGTGCTTAACAGGACTAAAGACCTTGCAGAACTACGGCTTCAAGGATTGCATAGCATTGAGCCATGGCAGTTAAAGTGGAATGAAACTGCGTTAATTCCACAATGTAGATGCACCCTCAGAAGTAGAAACTCCTGGGATTTGTACATTGATGAGGCCCTAGCACTCTTTGGAAGAGAAGATCAAGGATCGTGTCAAAGTGCAACTGAGAACCTCTCTTACTAGAATGTCATGTCTGGTGGTCATCCCTTTCTTGCAAGGAGGGCCTAAGCCTCCAATTCTGGCATATTTTGCGGGGGGAGGGGGGAATCAAATGATTATCTGACTTTGGAGTAAATGTAGGTGGAAACAGGAAAAGAAAGGAAAAAATGTGTGCTTGAATTTGAAAATATGTTTATTTGAATAGTAAATAGTTATACAGTTAAAACAGTTCTATCGAAGCATTCTATAAATAGCTAACAGTTAAGAAAATAATGTGTGTAGAAAAGAGATTGCATCTAAAAGTAAGCCGAGCTGTTTTGAGAGCCTCGAAGCAAGAAGAGAAAAGGGCCTGTATGTTGTACGTTTATCCTAGGTATAAAAGTTAAACCCTTTTCCGACAGATCTCTTTTTCTTTTCTTTTTTTTTTTTTTTTGGAAACCAAAAAGGGGCGGCTGCAACACCTAGAAAGGAGTCTCGATTGGCGAGTAAAGTATAGCATTGCAGCCTGGTTTTTTAAAAAAGCACAGTGAAATGGCAGGAGGTGCGGGTAGAGAAAGGCCAAGCACAGTCGAGATAGAATAGGAGAGACACCCATGAATTCGTCAATGAATTAATTAATAATAAATAAACCAATAAATAACACAATTACGCATAAATCAACATATACACAGAGCGCCAACAGAGGATTCTACTTCGAAAACAAAACAATATATATATATTTATATATATATAAAAAAACAGATTGGCATGTCATTGTTATTATTAAGGCAGCTTCTACAACAATCTGAAGAACCAACAACAATCAAGTCAAGGCATTTGTGGCTATACCAGGGATGGGAAAGCTTGGGCCTTTGCAGGGGTTTTGGACTCCAACTCCCACCATTCCTAACAGCCTCAGGCCCCTTCCTTTTGCCCCTCAGCCGCTTAAGCGGCTGAGGGGCAAAAGGAAAGGGCCTGAGGCTGTTAGGAATGGTGGGAGTTGGAGTCCAAAATACCTGGAAGGCTAAAGTTGGCCCAGGCCTGGGCTATACTAACCAAAGTTATATATATTTTAATTCTGCTCACATACAAAAAGAAAGCTTCGAAGGGGAAGGGGAAGAGGAGAAAAAGGTAAAGCCAGATTCCAACGCTTCACAAGCCATAATAAAGCTAATCAAAAAGGGAGAGGGGGTCAGTAAAGCCTGTGAAGGGGGCAGTAAAGGCATCCAAGAGAGAGAGAAAGAGAGAGGAGAGGGGGGAGTCATCTTTGAGGCCTAGCAAGCCGGGCGGAGAGGCACCTGGAGGAGGATGACCTGCCTGTTCTCGGAGGGGTGGCACTTGTTGATGTGCCTGGTGAGGCCCGGGGAGCTGTAGAAAGTGGCCGGGCAGTACTTGCAAGGGAAGGCCTGGGCGGCGTGAAGGAGGCGGAGGTGACGCTCCTGCCCGCCTTTGGTCGGGAAAGCTTCTCCACACGCAGGGCATGGGTGTTGTTGTGGAGAAGGAGAAGGAGAAGGTTGGTGACCCTCCTCGCCATCCGTAGAAAGATCCTCCTGCTGCCGGAAATGCTTGGCGCAGTCCTCGCGCTCCTCAACCAAGACGGGGCTGGTCTCGCGCTCGCCCTCGCGCTCGCTCTCGCGCCCTTTCGGCGCCTCCTCACGCGCCGCTTTGGCCTTCCCCGCGGCGGAAGCGGCCTGCTGCCTAGGTTTGTGCCACCGGCGGTGTGAGGCGAGGTTAGCCGGGCAGCTGAAGAGCTTGTCACACTCGGGGCAGCGGTACTCGACGCGGACGATGCGGGAACACTTGTGTTGCGCCAGGGAGAGCGGGTCCGGGTAGCGCTCCTTGCACAGCTGGCAGATGAACTCTCCCAAAGGTTGTGAACGAGGCCCTGAAGACGAGGAGGAGGAGGAGGAGGAGGACGTGATTGGCTGCTGCTGCTCCAAGGGCCCTTCCTTGATGCGCAATCCCAGCACTGGCGACGTTGTCACTTCGTCCTCGAAGTGCAGCTTCCTCGCCGTCTTGGCTTTCCGAGCCTGAGGCCGCTTGGGTGGAGGAAGAGGAGGCTGAGGAGGTTGGGGATGAGGAGGAGGGGAGATGGCGGCCCAGAGCTGCACCTCCGCGCCATGGGCTAAAAGCGGCGCCGGGAAGGACTCTGCCGAGAGCGGGGAGCCGACAGGGAGGCGGCGCTCCTCGCTGACGGCCCGCGCGGGGCTGCGGAGCGGCGCCGGCGGAGAGGGCGGCGAGGATGGCGTGCCGAAGCCCGGGAAAGGCGGCGCCGGCAGCGAGGAGAGAGCCAAAGGCAAAGGCGGTGGCGAAGGCACGGCTGCTCCCTGCGCCTCCTCCGCGTAGCAGCAGCGCGCCCTGTACGAGATGGGCGTCGGTCTGCGGCTCCTCTTGACCAGGAAGCCCCGGGGCATCCTTCTCTTCTTCTTCAGCCGGAGCCTCACCCTCTCCGCTCGGCCCTTCTGCTGCTTCTGCTGCTTCTTCTTCGCTGGGCGCCCGCGCGCCTCCGCCTCCTCGCGGCGTCGCCCCCCCCGAAACTGCCGAGCCTCGCGCCCCGCTTTTTAAGGGGGGAGGGCAGCATTGTTCGCGCCTCCCGCTCCGCCCAGAGCCAATCAGCGCTTCCCGAGGATGCTCCCCGGGCCTCGGAGGCAGGCAAGCAGGCAAGGCGCCCGCCAGGAAGGGAGGGTGCGAGGGAGGGAGGGGGGCGCGCGCCGGGATAGAGTGCCTCGCGCGCAAGGTGGAGCGCGGCAGATGAGGCACCTGAGGGGCTTTTGGCGCCGGCCCTTCCCTTTCTTTCCCTGGCCCTTTTCTTCTTCTCCCTCCTCCTCCCGCCCGCAAGGCACGCGCCCAGCCCCGCCTCCTTTCACGGTCTGCTGCTTTTCTATGAGGAGCCGCACGTGCCTCGCCTTTGTGCTTCTCCGGGGAGAGTGGCGGGAGGGGGGGAGAGACTACCCAAAGAACTGCCAAATGGAAGTCTCCTCCATCAGCATCACAATAAGAGACCCCGGCCCCGAGGGAGGGGAAAGGTGGCTCACAAAGGAGGCGAATGGGGAAACTGAACGGCTTGAAAACACTTTAATGAAGGAAGGAAAGAATTGGGAGGGATGGGGAGGTGCTCGCGCTCGCTCTCGCTCCCGGGCGCGCCCCCGCCCGCCCGCTCGTTGCCTTCCTTCCTTCCTTCGTTCCTTCCGTGTCAAGGGGCTCTTTGTCCCCAGAAACCAGGTCACCGCCCCCGCTCCGGCTGGGAAGGCGCGCCTGTTGCCCCGGGGGACCTGTGGCTCCTTCGGGCACGCGGCAGGGGGGCTGCCCTCGCCTGACACGTGTGCGGCTGATTCACACGTAGGCCCATCCTCGGATGGAAGCATTTCCCCCGCAGGAGGAGAAACCCGGGGGACAGCGAGGCGCTCACAAATCCGCTCCTCTTTCAGCACCGAAGGAAGCTCGGGCGCTGTTTTCCTCCCTGGTGCTGAACTGAGCGAGAGGCCCAAGGCGCCGCAACGCGCACTGACTCGCAAAGCGCCCGGTGTTTTTCCACGAATGCCCTCTCCTTTCCACCCTCCCGCGCAAGAAAAGCCCTTGGCCCTCGCTAATGCCTCGGTCCTACATCCAGGAACACTTGGGATTTCCTAAAACGGAGGGCAAAAGGGGGAAATGGCGACGCTCCAAGCTCGACTTGGGCCTGGAGTCTTTCTCAACACACAACTTTCATTCAAAATGCACTGAAAGGAAAGCGGGAAAGTAATGCTAAGCAATCCCTATCCCAACGTTTGGGGGGCCCTTCATATAGAAGTGTCCAAACAGCAGGAATATTTTGCCCCAATGAGGATTGGATGCCCTCAGCAATATGTTTAGAGGATTCAAAAATGCGAGAGGGAGAGAAACAGAAAAGGTGGCCCATTGCAATCGTTCTTCCTTGTCGAAGGCTTTTATGGCCAGAATCACTGGGTTGCTGTGAGTTTTCTGGACTGTCTGGCCATGTTTCAGAACATTCCCTCCTGGCGTTTCGCCTGCATCTATGGCAAGCATCCTCAGAGGTTGTGAGGTCAATTGCAATTGTTCTTCCTTGTCGAAGGCTTTTATGGCTGGAATCACTGGGTTGCTGTGAGTTTTCTGGGCTATATGGCCATGTTCCAGAAGCATTCTCTCCTGACATTTCACCCCCATCTATGACAGGCAACTCCATTTTCCTAGTTTCCAACAGACCTCACAACCTCTGAGGATGCCTGCCATAGATGCAGGCGAAACGCCAGGAGAGAATGCTTCTGGAACATGGTCGTACAGCCCGGAAAACTCACAGCAACATAGTGATTATGGTCATGAAAGCCTTAGGAGGGAGGGAGGGAGGGAGGGAGAAAAGAAGGAAGGAAGGAGAGAAGGAAAGAAAAAGGGAAGGAAGGAAGAGGGAGGGAGGGAGGGAGGGAGGGAGGGAGGGAGGAAAGAAGGAATGGAAGAAATGAAGGAGGAAAGAAAGAAGGAAGGGAAGGGAAGGAAGGAAGGAAGGAAGGAAGGAGAGAAGGAAAGAAAAAGGGAAGGAAGGAAAGGAAGAGGGAGGGAGGAAGGAAGGAAGGGAAGAAGAAAGGGAAGAAAGAAAGAAGGAAGGAGGAAGGAAAGAAGGAAAGAAAGGAGAGGGGGAAGGGAGGAAGGAAAGAAGGAAAGGAAGGAAAGAAAGATGGAAGGGAGGGAAGAAGGGAAGAAAGAAGGAACGAAGGACGGAAAGAAGCGACTTTTCGGCAGGAGAGGGAAAGACAGATTCGCTAGGCTCTCATTTTGCCTTTGTGGGGATCTCAAGATCCACCGGCCAAGAGCAGAAGATGCACGAACAGTTTGAAAGAGCCTTAATGTCAGGCCAAGAAGGAGCGGGGACGTGCTCGGGAGAAAGCCAGCTCCTCCTTGTCTGGTTCTCCGAGTTTTACACCTAAAGGCTGTTAGGCAGGGATGGGGATAAGAGAGGAAAGCGGGGCAGGTGGGTGAACGGAGCGGAGCGAGTGAATGGTCTACGCAGGGCCGCTCCAACTGGTGGTCCCTGGAGCAGTGCCTGGCCTGGCAAGCTTCCAGGAAGAAGGGCAGCCAATGGGAACCAAGATGAGGCTCTCCTGGGCGCTCTTGCGGAGGGATAAGGGCTGCCTCTGCGTTAGTTATCCTAGTATGGCCCAGGTTAGAAGGCCTTCACCTAAAAGGAGTTTTTCAAAGCGATATGAAGCCAAAACGGAGGGGCCTATGGCGGGGAAGGAAGGAACGCTTTGCATCAGGCGTGGGCCAACTTGGGTCCTCCTTACAAGTGTTTTGGACTCCAACTCCCACCAAGCGGCTGAGGGACAAAAGGAAGGGGCCTGAGGCTGTTAGGAATGGTGGGAGTTGGAGTCCAAAACACCTGGAAGGCCCAAGCTTTCCCATCCCTGGTATAGCCACAAATGCCTTGACTTGATTGTTGTTGGTTTTTCAGATTGTTGTAGAAGCTGCCTTAATAATAACAATGACATGCCAATCTGTTTTTTGTTTTTTACAAAAGGTCTCCGATTGTGGGAATGAGAGAAAAACAATAATAAAAATATTTTTTTTAAATATCACGATTTTTGTTCCTGGGTTATAAATGTCCTTTCCTAATTAGTCCTATCATAAAAAACCATATGAAAAGTGTATTAAACTGCCCAAACTTTGTTTTTAGGGGAGGGACACAAGGCAGCACATTTTGCGCTCTTTTTTCCATGAATTTTGTTTATTCAGTATTTATATACCGCTTTTCTTGGGGGGGGGGGGACTCAAAGCGGTTTACACAGAGATAATGGCAAAAATCAATGCCTTACATAGTCTCAACCAATTGTCGAAGGCTTTCATGGCCGGAACCACTAGGTTGTTGTAGGTTTTTCGGGCTGTATGGCCATTTTCCAGAAGCATTCTCTCCTGATGTTTCGCCTGCACCTATGGCAAGCATCCTCAGAGGTTGTGAGGTCTTCCCAAAGGCTATCCTTGGACCCAAACCCAGGAATCTGGATGTAACCCAACCTTAGAATAATAATAATAATAATAATAATAATAATAATAATAATAATAATAATAATCTTTATTTATACCCCGCCACCATCTCCCCATTGGGGACTCGGGGCGGCTTACATGAGGCTAAGCCCAAACAACAAATTACAGGAAAATAAAACCGAAAAAGTAAACAAGAAATATGGGGTGATTTCATATTACCATAGAGTTCTATGACTCCACAGCTATATAAACCCAATTTTCCTAGTTTCCAGCAGACCTCACAACCTCTGCCATAGATGCAGGCGAAACGTCAGGAGAGAATGCTTCTAGAACCTGACCATACAGCCCGAAAAACCTACAACAACCCAATTCAACCTAGTTTGTGGCAGCCACCAAAACAAAGTTTCTGGAGTAGTATAACTACTTTCAAAGTAAAGAACCGTACAACGAAACAGGGAATAACTCTTTCAAACCAGGAATAGTAAAGATTAAATGTGTGTAGTGTAATTCAGTGCGGCTAGTGCTTACACTCATCGCACACTAACTTGAGGCTTTCCCGTTTCCCAAATCAGGAATTGGAGTGAAAAGACGTCCTTAGAGGACTCGTGTGGTATTCGATTTGAATATACACACGGATGGGTCAAAAAGTAATGCCTCCATCGCTCTAACTTTTCTTTCTTTCACGGCTACTAGACTATCTATACATGATAAGGTAGAGGTAACCTTACTCTACTGATAGAGTGTTTTCTTTTTCCCCATTGACTGATTAGAACTATGAATCTGAGACTAAAAGAAAGAGTCTCTGGCAAAAGCAGGTGAATGTGCACCTAAGGGAATCCATAATCGCTTGAGGAATGTTTATGATTTGCCCCATTCTGATTTTTACCTGTTTGGACCTCTGAAAGACAACATACCTGGTTTCAGATTCAGTTAAAAGAGCTTTAAAATCATGGTTCACGAAGCAAAACCCAGATTTTTTCCAAAATAGTTTTCTGCCCGGGTTAAACGATGGCGCAAATGTGTACACATTGATGGTGACTGTGTTGAACCGTAGTTTTGTGTAGAGGACAGTAGATCTGTAGCAACTTTATATGTTCATTCATAACGTTTTGATGACACAGGAGGCAACACTTTTTGACTCGCCGCGGTGTATATATTTGTCCCTTCTGTTTCCTGTTCCACACTGAGAAGACTCGGGGCCTCCCTTTTCTCTGTTCCTTCTGTAGTTGGAAAATCAATCTTCCATCACACTCACCCAACAACCGAAACACGGGTGTTTTGTATAAGAGGCGGCCCCAGAGCAGACATCCAGAATTGCCACACGAAAAGTGGTGTATAAATCCACATTATCTTATTTGATCTGGATTATATGAGACTACACTGCCATAGAATCCAGTTCAAAGCAGATAATCTGGATTTTATATGGCAGTGGAATGGACCTCATATATACAAATCATGTGGATTATGTGATTTGATAATCTGAGTGATATGGCAGTGTAGAAGGGGCCATTGTTGACACCATGCTCTTGTCCTTCTTTGTTTTATTGCACACAATGGGACTTCAGCATCTGCGGGTTTCGTTATCCCCGGGTGTCTTGGAAATAAGGCAGTATGGGCCCAATTTTTTTTTGGTCGTGTCAGGAGCGACTTGA